TCCTCGGTGTCAGGTACGTTTGGTCAGTCTGGTGTTTCGGAAGCGAAGTGCTGGAGTGGCGAGCGAGATGTCTTGAGTTCGGTTTGGGGAGTGTTCCGAGCTGCCATGGGCCAGCTCGGGTCACGACTTTGTAAGGCTTAGGACTCGAGATAGTTCGGGCTCCTTGTAGGGAGCTCGGGTTCTTGGTAGGGAGCTTGGGTTCTTAGTAGGGAGCTCGGGTTCTGTTGGTTACTTTCGGTGCTCGTTTTGGGCGCTCTGCTACCCCGAGCTGCTTGCTTTTGCCACGTGTTGGGTGATTGCGAGGTCGGGCCAAATTTTCCTTCATCATTAATAAATATGAATGTTTTTGAAAGTTATTTTCTCGAATTATTACTTGATATAAGTGAAATTAGTTATTTACAATATTAAGTAAAAATATTAAATTATTATTAATTTTAATATTATGTTATAATTATTTGTATACTTTTTATAATGTTTACAAGTTTATTACATAATTTCTTTATTTTAACTATTTAAAATATAGTTATGTTATATATTTTGTTATTTAAATACTTAAATAATATGTAAAATATTTAAGTTTTAAAATATTAATTATTTATTGAATTTAATTATCCATAAAATCATAATTTATACTATTATTACATAACTTCATATTAATTTTGTAATATATTAAATTATTATTAATTTCAATATTATGTTATAATTATTTTTCTACTTTGAAGAAAAATTTTAAATTTATTACATAATTCTGTTATTTTAACTATTTAAAATCTAGTTATGGTAAATATTTAAGTAATCTAAAAAATATTTTAAATTTTTTGTTATTTGAATTTCATTTATTTAAAGCTATTACATATTATTGAATATTTGAAAAACATTTAAATTGACAATCCAGAAAAGCATAATTTAAATTGTTAGTACATAATTTAAAATGATAATCCAGAATATTTAAATAATTTTGATTTTTTTTATCCAATTTTTCTTTAGATAGATATAGATAAAAGTTAAGGGAGAGGATAAATAGGAATTATAGATAATTTAGGAGAGAAACTCTCTACTAAATTAGAGATAATTTTGGAGATAAATAGGAATTAAAGATAATTTGGAAGATAAGTGGGGGAAGTAATTTTGGAGAAATTTTAGGAGAAGTGATTATTTAAGTTGTGGGAAAGTGCATCTCGTTCGATTACTATTTTATATTTTTAGAACAAAAGAAAATAAGAAAAAAATACAAAAAATAGAAAAAATAGATAAATAGCTTCTCTCAAGAAAGCTATGCTGATATGGCAAGACCAGTTTTAATATATATATATAATTTAAAATAGCCAAAACAGTGGGGACATTTAAAATGATAGCAGGCCGAGATAGGCCAAAAATAAATTAAATACTTAAAAATAAATCCAAAATCTAGATTTATTTCCCAAATACAAATACAAGTAAGTGCTTATTGGCGCGATGCCGGCATTTACCTTTGATTATTCGAATAATCTCTTTGCACTCCAAAAGTTACCCTTAGACGACCAATCGGCCACCGCACTATCGGATCTGCTGCCACGAAACACAGATGTTCGCGATGTAGGTAGCAATGGGTTGATTCGAGTGCACTTCTCTACGGGCAATATCAAAAGCGTAGTACCACACTGCAGAACCCGAACGAGAGCAGTCTGATCGTTATGGACACGCAGACGCAGGAGCAAAGAGCGAGAGCTGCTCAGCCTCGTCCAGCTGGTGGAGATTTCTCCGCCATTATCTCAGTTCTGATGGTTTTCGTCTCCTTCGCTGCCCTGGTAACTGCCTCATCGGTTTCAACCTTTCCTTTTCTGTCTTCCTACAGTTCACTACTGTTCATGTAATATGCTAAATCCGACCCTGGATCATTTTGTTACCTCTCCGTCTCTATTTGATTAGTCTGAATGAAACGTTTTTATCCATTCAATCGCAGTATATATATTTTTTTTCTGATTATTGAGATTTTCGATCTATTTTGCAATTTGTGCGATGATGTTTTTAAACGATTGCGAAACCAATGAAACAAGAAAAATAAGAGAAAGCGGAGTGGATAATATGATGCAACTGTACCTTCCAAAATAACTTGCATAAGCTATTCCTTTTCTCCACTATATCTCTTAATCATCCTATATGCTTAGTTTGTAGTTTGTACAGTATAGCAGTAATGAAGACCCTTAAAAAAACTATTAGTGATGTATATGCAAATTAGATAATCTAATTCACCCTAAGTTGCTATTAAGAAGGCCTATGAATAGTTCAACCTTAGCAAGATTCCTGGTGTATTTTACCGCAATAGCACAGACTCATGTTCTGCAATTTATCTATGAGTTTTATGCCCATATTATCTGTTCATGAACTTTATGGATGTAATCAGCTTGAACAGTACTGGCCCTAGCATTAACAAATATACTCTACATTGGAAAATCTTATACATGATTTAGGATCTACCGTATCAAGTAATTTAATTAGTTTGATTGATGATAAATGCATAGTGCTTAATAAGATGAATACTTGTTGGTTTCACTAATTTACCTTCTTTGGAATTGTGTATTATTCGAGTGCAGAATCATACCAAATTTGTTGGCAAAGAGCAATGTCTCTGCTGCAAAGATTAAAATTTCAATGGAAACTTTAAAATTTTGAGATTTCATTCTGGTTTTGGGAGTGAGTGGTACAAAACATATAGAGAATAATATAGTCTATAATTCGGAGTTAAAATGGAGAGGAGTCGGAGAAATTTTAGTCATTGAGATGAGGTATTATGAAGAGGGCATACAGATGAAATTGAAACAAATAAAATATACAAAAAAGGAATAGAAATTGGAACAAAAAAAACTCCACTGATTTTTTTTTGAAATTCTGATATAATATAAAAATCTCCCAAGTTTCAGGAAAACAGTGTTTTTAACCACATTGAGATGCAGTATGGAACGAATTTAAAGCACAGGTCTCTTCTCAATAACAAACTCAGCTGTACCAGTGAGATCAGAATTTATTATTGATAAGAGCTATGCACTGTGGTGGAACTATCATGTTTTTGAAGTTAATACAGCAGATTTATATTATCATTCAAGATTTTTAGGAATAATACGGGATTGCACTTGGAGTGCAATTTTTGTCTAACTTTTTCTGTAGGTGTTGTTGATTTTTGTCTGCAATCGATGGATCATGACAAATTTTCATTTACTCTGGTTTGATGAAAGGAATATAATATGGAAAATTTGTGAACTCTAGGTATTGGCTTATTAGACAAGGGGACCCCTTCTATTCATTTGTATAACTGAGGGTTTTAGTAAAATGTAAAAAGAGCTTCCTCAGCTGGTCGCATTGAACCTTCATGGTTGGAGAGGGTGAAATGAAAGTGCCTCTCCCTCAATTTGTTAATGACATTCGTTTCTTTTGTAGTACATCCCAAGAACAATTGGGAAATCTTAAAGCAATTTTTAGATGGTTTGAAGTGGTGACCGGTCTTCATATAAACATGCATAAAAGTGAGATTATGGTGGTTGGTGAGGTTGCTGAAATAGAGGGTTGGGTAGGTTTAGGGTAGATAAACTACCAACCAAATATCTGGGAATACCTCAATGGGTCAAATGCATTTCAAAATCAATTTGGGATCCAACGGTGGAGTGCATGGACAAAAAACTAGCCTCCTGGAAATCCAAAAACCTCTCAAAGGGGGGTGTAATTACTCTAATTAAGAGTGTATTATCAACTGTGTTAACACACCCCTTATCATCTTGGTAAACTGAAATAGGGTATGTATGGCTAAGAAAAATGGTGCTCTAGGGGTCAGAAAGTTGAGGGTTAACACTGCCCTATTAGGCAAGTGGCTTCAGAGGTATAATGAACAGACAGACATGGAAGAGGGTGATCTTGGCCAAATATGACTTAATGAATAGGGAGTGGGGTTCAACTGAATTAAACTCTTACTTTGGATGCTCAGGTTGGAAGGTAGTGCAGAAATCATCCCATTAGTTCATTAAAGGTATAAAAAATGAGGTTGGGGATGGTGAAAAAGTGATGCTTTGCAAATATATTTAGTGTGATGGCAGGCCTCTCACGGAATCCTTCCCACTACTTTTTGACATATCTTGAAAAGGAAGCAAGGGTGGTCAAAAGCTTGGTACTACACAATAATAAAGTGATATGGAACCCTCAAATTTGAAGAAACTTAAATGATTGGGAGGTGGCTCCTCTGATGGACCTGCTACAAAGAAGTACAAACATCATATAATATAAGGATAAACGGGGAGAGGACAGACAGAGGTCTTCAGCCTAGGAGGAGACAGGTAATTTCTTGGTGAAGTTCTTTTACAATAACCTGGCTAGAACTTTTGATACAGATTTCCCAAATTCTAGAATCTGGTATGCTGTTGTTCCTTCCAAAGTGGTTTTTTTTTTCTTTGGGGTTTGTGTGTGTGTGTGTATGTGCACTTGTGCTGACTACTATCATGGACAGAGGATTGACTTGGAATAATCTGATGAGGAGGGGTATAAAAGTTGATAATTTATGCTGTATGCTAGGTAACATGTATGAGGAAACACAAATCACTTAATGCTGCACTGTGATTCTATTTACTAGATCTGGATGGAAGTACTACACCTGTTTGCAGGTAACGGGTGTTTCCCAGAATACTGATAAAAAAGTGTTTTCCTGGGATCTGTGAAGAATTTTATGGGAGAATATTGCCTAAATGGTTTGAGCAGGTGAGGCAAACAGAGTAGCATGGAATATGGTGCCTGTAGCAGTTTTTTGGGCTATTTTGGGAGAAAGGAATGATAAAGTTTTCTAGAGCAAGCCTAGTTTGGAGGAAGAGGTGGTAAAAATGATATTTGGAATGCTGTGTTCTTGGTTGGCTGATAATAGAATCTTTAAAGGAAGAAATTAGATGATAGAATTGCAATATTTGTACGGGTGCAAATCAGATTGCCCAATTTGAGGAATTTCAACTGCATCGGGCTTAAATTCACGCTTGTGCCCATTTAAAATTTAACAAACTATCCAACCTGACTCAAGTTGCACCCTAATTATGTGCTTGCAGCATGCTGCATAAACCTACAAGTGGGATATGTAAAGAAGAAAAGTGTAATTCAAAATTTTGAGAATGAAGTTGTTCGTACAATTGCATAAAAATTATGCACTTCAGAGTTGCTTTGAACAATTAGAGTTTTGAGCTAAAGTAAATATTGTCCTCTGCTTTCTAAAATTTTCTTTTTCACTCTCATGGAAACCATGTTGATCTCCCAAGATTCATGCTTCTCAACTTGGTATGTATCACTTTATGCCATGCACTTCATCTCATTCCTCAACGTAAAGGTGTATACCTGATGCATGCTGTTCATCACATATTTGCCTTGGGGTGCCTCTATACATGCCTTTTCTGCCTCTTAAAACACAATTGCCTGGGTACGTAAAAATGGAATTTCTATCCCTGTCAGGTACTTCAATTCCAAGTGTAAATTCATATCCATGAGATATAGATGCTATCCATGATGTATCTGGGTAAAGGTGAGTTGCAATTTAAAAAGATATTGGTATTTGATTTATTTGTGTAAAATCATATCATTATATAAATAACTTCATTTTACATAAACATCTTGTGGTATCATAAAGGTTTTCTCAAAACTTGTGTATTTGCCTAGTTGTAACTCATTTACTTAGGATATTGTCAATCCCTTGGAATGCCCAGGTACTTTTTTTTTTTTGACATTATTTTTTTTTTTCTGGTAATAAATAAGAAAGAAATTCATTAATTGATAAAAAAGTACATCCAGGGGTGATGAGAGATCACCAAAAGAGAAAAAATACAAGATACCACAATACATCAAAGACAAAAAACAATACAACAGATCAACCCAACGACTCCAATTCTAGTACTGACCAGAAACCATACCCAAATGACTCCTTGGACACCATCAAGGCCATACATTGGTTGAAAACTCTAGACTCATTCAAGGATGTCTCTGTAGATGACTTGACTAGAGTTTGGAGTGTAATAGCAGGGTCTTCTGCTTCATCTTCTACCATACAAGCAGTTTGGTCTCCTCCTTTGCAGTGTGCTGTGAAACTAAATTTTGATGGCAGCTCTGTTGGGAACCCTGGATCCTCTGGAATTGGGGGTGTGTTTGGAGATGCGGGAGGAAGAATCCCGGCCATGTTTTCTTGTCCAATAGGGGTGGGGGACTCACTTAGAGCAGAAGTGATGGCCCTCCTCCAGGTGCTCAGATTGGCTAAGCAATTGGGCATTCAACAGCTAGAAATGGAGGGAAACTCAAAATTGGTAGTAGGCTGGCCACAAACAAATAGCTTGGGAACATGGTCCCTTAGACAACCTGTAAGGGAATTATTGAACCTCACAAGGGAGCTGGGTGCATAGTTGTCAAGGCAATGCCTAGGCGGGCGCCTAGGCGACAAGGCGCCCTTTGAGGCTCACCTCGCCTAATCACCTAGCAGTTTGTACTATGTATTGTAAAATACTTTTTTATTCTTTATTTTTTGACATTATAATTATAAAATAGGCACTATTAAACTAAAATACTCATTTTGTGTGTTTATATACTAATTTGTTTTTATTATTTTCTTATTTGTTAGGATTTAATCAATACAAACATTGCTAAATGCTGTATTGAACCCTCAAAGACTTTAAAACCTGAACCAATAAGTAAGGAAGAACTTAAAAAATGTTGTCTAATTATCAATACTACTACTACTACTACTACTACTAAATGCTGTATTGAACCCTCAAAGACTTTAAAACCTGAACCAATAAGTAAGGAAGAACTTAAAAAATTTTGTCTAATTATCAATACTACTACTACTATATTTTTTGAATAAGGGTTCAGACCCTATCTTTTCTTCTTTTCCTATAACAAAAATAAGGGTTCAGACCCTATATTTTTTGAATTTTCTTTTCCATCTTTATTTTTCTTCTCATGAATATGTTGATTTTCTATACTTTAACATGAATACTTTTCTTATGAAAATTATGACTAATTATTAAGGAAATATGGCTATGGTACCTAGGGAACCACCCTAGGATCTATATTTTCTATATAAAAAAGTCCATTACGCCTAGGCGCCTGCCTTGGCACCTAGGTGACAAGGCACCCCCCTGACGCCCAGCCTCACCTTGGCGCCTTGAAAACTATGGCTGGGTGCACATGTAAAATGGACTAGGCGGTCAGCAAATGCTTTAGCTGACAATCTAGCCAATCAAGGAGTAAATCAGGAGTCTTTGTTTTGGGATGTTTTGTAATTTGATTTTTGATGAGGGGTCACCTTATGTCTCTGTAGGTGACAGTTGTATTCCTGTTTTTTAAGCTAATGAAAGTTACTGTTTCCTATAAAAAAAACTCCTTGGACACCCCTTCAAATTCAGGCAAGATTGCAAGATTAAAAGCCACTACATAATTCTTTTTCTTATGGTTGAGATGATTTTTTGACAACATTGATGGGGTGCATGCATTAGAGGCTTTGGTGACAAAAAGGATAGAAAATGATAGATGTGCCATTATATATCCGAACCGTTAAAAGTATCTGTTGCAACACCAGGGCACCCCCCCTCCAAATACACATGTGCATAGAGTCAGCGAGCACATTCTTTTTTTTTTTTTGGAAAAATTTCAAGTTGTTTATTTCTCATTCAGCAATCACTCTTTTTTTGGACTGAAATTTGCACAAAACTTGCTTAGATATTTTGTAATTTTAATGCAATTAGAACCATTTGATGAACTTGTGAAAATTTTCTAATTGACTTCACCTAAATCCATTAATTTAAATGTTCTATGACAAATTACACAGGTGGTGGTTCCTTCGTCATTTTCAACTGCAAGTAATAGTTTTTCCATATTACATCAAGTCCCAGAGGGTCATGTTGGGGTTTACTGGAGGGGAGGTGCCCTTCTGAATACAATAACTAACCCAGGTATTGTTATGTTCATTTCATTTACCTTGCATTTGTTGAAAGTGTTAGACATATACAATGTGTGCTTGAGCTTGAGCTCAATTGTCTTTCTAGGTTTCCATTTGAAGATGCCTCTGATAACTCAGTTTGAGCCTATTCAAGTGACTATTCAGACAGATCAGGTAAAATATTTTCACTATTTCACCCAGTGAGGGCTGAGGGTGCAATTATTGGAATCAATCACATTACAAGGCTTCAGCCATAAGCAAATCGGATACAAGAAGTCAACATCCTACTCAATTTTATAGATTAAAAGTGGAAATTAAATTGTTTTGGCATATTTGTGGTTGGAGAACTGCAGACCAATTATCCTGCTAACTGAATAGTCTTGTATGGAACTTTTTTAGATTACATTTTATCACTAGCCAATATGCTTTATTATCAAATAATATCTGTTTTTTTCTAAAGTAAACAGGTAAGGGATATCCCATGTGGTACAAAAGGCGGTGTTATGATCAGCTTTGAGAAGATTGAGGTAGAACATTGAAATCCTGCATTTGTTCTGTCATTAAATTGGATATCATCCTATTCATTTTTTTTTCTTTTCAAATTCCATTAATGTGTTGAATTATGTAAAATTCTGAAATTCTTTCTCCAGGTTGTTAATCGTCTTCGTAAGGAGTATGTATATGAAACACTTCTCAACTATGGTATACAATATGACCATACATGGATATATGATAAGATTCATCATGAAATCAATCAGTTTTGCAGTGCTCATTCTCTTCAGCAAGTTTATATAGACATGTTTGACCAGGCAAGAAACCGGGCTAAACTAGAGATACTTTGTTTTTTCAGAAAAAATTGGGCTATCTCTAATATTATATATTTTTTGAAAGATGTAATATGGGAATTGTATTAATAACAAAAGGGAGGGGGGGGGGGAAGCGAGAAGCCCTCACCCAATTGCGAAAAGTGTGCCTCTATAAATATGCAGAGATGATATACAATCAGCTTCTAGATTAGAGCAACCAGCCCACTGCTGTAGCAACCATTCCACTCTTCCAAGCTTCTGATTTGGACTCAAAGATCCTACAGTTCCTTTCCTTCCAAACTGTTCAACAAATGGCAAAAAGCAGAAATCTCCGCAAGGCCGGATATGCTAGCTCCCCCCTCCCTTCCTTTTTTTTTTTTCTGTCCTTTTCTTTTATTTTATTGATAATCTGATTTGATAACTTGTCACCAATTACATTAAAGTTCTCATTCTAAATCCTGCACTTGAACTTGCTAAATCTGAAATCTCAATTCAACTCATCTAAGCTTTGTCCCAACTATATGGGATTGGATACATGAATCCTACTCTGTCACTTCACTTTGTTCGGTACCATAGGCCATGGCCGCTGTTAAAGGACCTTTAAACCATTTCCCACTACTAACCCATGTCCTTCTGGCCTGCCCTTAGTTCTTCTAGATCCTTCAATTTGCACTACTAGATCACTTATTCTCATGGGCTTTATAGATGTTCTCTGCATGTGACCAAATCATCATAGTCTGCTTTCCCTTATGACCTATTGCGGCTATTCCTAGGTTTCTATGAATGTCTTTTTTAGTTTTCCCACTCATCCATGTCAACATTTACATTTCTGCTACACATTGTTTTTTACTGATTATGCAATCTGATGATGTAGATTATATGCTTGAAACTGTTGGGGTCCTCAACTGAATTTAGTAATATTTTGGATTGCGACACTTATTTGACAAGTAATAAATTTAAATGTTTCAGATTGATGAGAAAATGAAAGATGCTCTTCAGGGTGACTGTACGCGATATGCCCCAGGTATTGAAATTATTAGTGTCCGTGTCACAAAACCAAAAATTCCAGAAAGCATAAAACGCAATTTTGAAGCAATGGAAGAGGAACGCACTAAGGTATTTGTCTTGTTCTTTTGGTATGCTGGAGTTATCGTTTTATTTCTATTTTTTGCCCCTTCTAAGAAAAAGGGAACTTAAGCCTAATCATACCTTTTAATTTCATTGAAATATTGCAGAATTTTGGCCGAATGAAATTGAAATCCTAAAATCTCAAAATTTCAAGTATCACCAAGAATTAGTAAACTTCAACAAAAACCTCAGCACATTTCACCATAATTTTCTCTGAAATTAATAAATAATACTGAAAGTTGTAAGAATTTTATTTGCTAAAGATATCTTTTAGAGGATTTTAAGAGGGGTTTTGCTTGGTGCAATGGTAAAATCTTGAGCTAACAAGTGTGAGAAAGCAGGCTTGAGTCTGAGAGTGGCCAGTGCATTAAATGCCAAAGATTAAGTCCATATCCAGGCTACTACATCCAAGACAACAAATAGTTAGGATCAACATTGGGTAATGGCACTTCTTATCTTTCAGAGGATTTTAAGGGATAAAAATGAGAGAAAATAGAAATTTAGAGTATTTTATTTAGAAGAGAACATGATAACATGTAATATAAAACAATATAACAAATGATATTACTTAGAATGAGATATTGAGTAGAAAATTTTGGTGGAATAACTGAAATTTTAGTAAAATTTGTTTTAACCCACATAAATGAAATACCAATTCTTTTTATTGGTAGCTGTAAGAATTTTATTTAATGTCAATAAGGGAGCGAATCTGTACAAATATGTTAAGCATCCCAAGAAATATAGGCTGGCCTCAGCCACCTAACCTTATTCCTTGTTTGGATTCCTTCTACATCCATGAGATCCCAAAACAAATGATTCATATTCACCCCTTGTTTGGCTAGTTGTGTCAGCCAAACAACTTTTTTATGTTTGAAGCGAAGAGAAGGTGTTATTTACTTCTCATGTCAGATGTCTAATCTCCATCAAGACGTGCCAGTTTTTCCCACTGTTTTTCAGCCAACCCACCACTACCTTTGAATCACCTCCACCTGCAATATGACTTGTTGTCACCTACAATGTTCAATCTTATGGACAAAAAATTTGCTTTTCTGGTAATCGACAAAAAATTCTGCTTTAAAATTATAGTTCCTACTTTTGGTTGAAAGGTCGGTACTTTTATGTAGGTTTTAATTGCAATTGAGAAACAAAGGGTAGCTGAGAAAGAGGCCGAGACACAGAAGAAGATGGCTTTATCAGAAGCCGAGAAAAATGCCGAGGTCAGCAGGATCATCATGTTGCAAAAGCTGATGGAAAAAGAAAATGCCAAAAAGCAGCAGGAAATTGAAAACCAAATGTACCTGGAGCGTGAAAAGAGCTTGACAGATGCCAACTACTACAGGTCATTGAACATCTATCCAGGCCTAATTAATATATATATATATATATATAGATAGAGAGAGAGAGAGAGAGAGAGAGAGAGAGAGAGAGAGACGTGATGGTAGTGATAGTTGATTACGTTGTTTCATTTCCTTTATCCAGGGTGATAAAAGAAGCTGAAGCAAACAAGTTTAAGCTCACACCACAGTATCTTGAACTCAAGTTTATTGAAGCTATAGCCAACAATTCGAAGATCTTCTTTGGAGACAAGGTCTGGTGGCTTCTTACCTTTTGGTTTTTTCAAAACATCCTTTATATATACTGTCATGTTCTAACATTGTCACTGCTGCCGTAGGTACCAAACATGCTCTTTGATCAGAGGCTCCTAGGGAATTTCCTGAATGACGTTAAGAAGAGGAACTTAGAAACGTAGGTCTGATAAACTTCTATTACATAGCTTTGATGAGATATTATGTGATTGTAAAACGAAAGACAAGATACAGAAAAGACATATGTTAAGTTCGTTCCATCCACTCTTCCAAAAGTGCTAGACAAGAGAGTAGCATGAAAATCTTTTGAAAGTGAATTGATATGATGAACTTTAGACCCTTGAGGAGGATAATTCTAGATTGGGGAATTGGGAACTTGGGACTTGTTCAATAGACTAAACTTGGGATCTCGCAGTTGACAGAAGGCTAACTAAATCGAATTCTATGGCTGTAAAACCCAAACCATTTCAGTTTGAAGGTATGTGGCCTGTCATCTTTTAGTGCACTGTACATATCGGTGAAACAGTTGGAATTACGATCCAAATGGTTATTGTATGGCTTAAAAATGAAATGAAAGCTGTTTGGATTATTCGTCTCCAAAAAATTAAGTTTCAAGGAGCAATTACAAGATGTATCATATATTGTTTTCTTAATGAAAACTTGTTCTCTTATTTGAAGATTAGGCGTGGAGTATGTGTAGAATTGGGTACTGATTTTATAAGTTTTTGTCTTCTTTTTCTAGCACGTAGCGGGTATCTTATAATATTTTTGGATTATTTTTTATGTGACCGAGTTAGTTGGTAACTTAGCTGGGTAGTCCAAGCGGAGATGTGGATTAGAGTCCTGCTACTTGTTAGCATATACCTTGAGGGTTATTAGTGATTTAGTGTGTTGAATTAAAATACGAAAAAAAGATTATTCTTTATGTGAGATTTTTGATCTCCGTTGTTTGAGGATAAGAAAGTTTTATTAAAAATGGGTGCTTTAAACCTAGTCGCATGACACATTAGCACAGTTTTGCATATATCCATACATATACAAAGTGTCATTATGTATCCTTTTCCAAGGATACCAACACACTTTGCAATACTGATATTTTAAATATTGGAAGCCATTAATAAATGCAATAATAATAATAATAATTCTGTACATAAAAACTAGAATTACATCCAAGTATTCTAGGTCCCAAGTCCAAACTCCTGAAATTAGTAAATATGTGTTTGCATGTGCATTATCAAGTTTCTACTAGAAGCTGATGCTGCATTATATGAAGGTTAAGAAGAAGTATACATGAATAACATGGGCATTTAAGAATAAGAGTAAAAAATTTAGAATACTTTATTTTTAATATATCCTCATGGTGACTGGATCTACAGGTCACCCATGAGTTGGATCCATTGATGAATCTCCAATAAAAATCAAACCAGATTTTCTGCCCACTACTCTCTACCGACACTCTATTCACCTTGAATTGCATTCATACATTGCCATTCATACACTGCAGATGTGCGTCATTTGATCATGTAAATACAAATTGTTGCATAAATTAAAAATACAGTTTGTGTTTATATGTTTGAAGGTGTGTTTTCTATTAGGTATCCATTGTGGGTAAAGCAAATTCCGGCACCCCCTCCCCACAATAACAAAATGTGTCTCACTAGTGCAAGAAGTCCACTATGGAATTGGTAAAAAAAAAAATAGGAAGCAGAGATTACCCGAGAGGAAGAAGCAAAAATTAAAAAAAAAAAAAAAGAACAAACTCCAAACCAACCCTCTTACCATTAGCATACTTCCCCCATATAAGAAAAGATCCCACAAATTACTCTTGCCAACAAATTAAAAAACCAAGCGTCCAAGCCAAATGAGCGGTGGCTCAATTGATATGTTATCTGGTTTGTTCTAGTAGAGATGTGGTTTGTTCTAGCCAGCATGGCATGGTTGGTCCTTTGACAGCATCAATTTTGTTAGTGTTCCTCACCAAGAATGCTCTCAGTGATGATTTCGGTTCGACCTTGAAACGAACCTACCCAATCTGTTATAGGGTAGGGTCTGGTTCCAAATTCTTGGAATCGACCTCAACATAGGTCAGTTCTAGGGTCTAGAGGTTTACCTCAAAGTTCAAAGTATTGATACGTATAGGTCCGTATTAGCCAATACATATTGCACCGGTAGCTTCCCGATATGCCCCTACAGGGGTTGTATCGGGTCAAACCATGGTTCAGAGGGTGGTCAGGATTTAATGAACTGACGTGTGTTAATATTTAGAACCATGGTGAACTGACCTAATGAATTGGCCTTGGTTGATCTTAGTGGAATGAGCCTTGGAACTGAATTTGCTTTGAAATAAATCCCAAAATATTTTTTAAGGCTACTAAGATTTGAACCCAAACACTCATAGTTACAAAAGCCATGGTCTTACTTGAGCATTGAGTTACTTAAATTATTTGATCATTTGTTTTTATTTTAAAATTTGATTATGCATAATAAATAATATAAAAACGTAATATATACAAAATTTAATTTATAATATAAATTTTGAATTATATATTAATATATTATTATAATCTACCTATTAAATTAATCAATTTAATCATTAAAGTTAATATAAATTTTAAATTATATATTATCATTATATAAAATCAAGTTTTTAAAAGACATGCTTAATTTTTTTTAAGAGGAAGAGTAAAAAAAGACAGGTTCCATAAGTAAACCCTAAAATTGACTCCAAAACCAACCCTACATTCACAGAATAAATTCCGATTCCAAAAACTTGAAACCGACCCCAGGTTCCAGGTTCTGCATTGAAACCGACCCATGCTAACCCCAGCACGTAGCCACCGAGGTAGATAAGAGAAAGAAAAACAGGGAACGAGGTTTTCTTACGTTGGCAGGGGTATTTCGGGGAAATAAAATTAGGAACCGCAGCAACAGACGTCTCTCCGCTCCGGCTACTCGATGCGGACGACATAAACCACAGAACGACTGTTGAGAGTTAGACAGAGGGAGTCGAGGGACAGAGGGAGAGATGTGGAGAAGGTCAATCTCTTTGCCGTTACAAAGGCCGTTTTCAACATCACCCGAAATTCAAACCCTTTATTCCTTCCTGCAACCCTCCGTCTTTGCCCTTAAAAAGACGCCATTGCCACCACCCAAACCCCCAGAATCTACGCCGCTACCTCTAACACAAGAACATAAAACCGCCTTAGAGTCCAGCCTTCTAGCATCCCTTGACAATCGCGACACTGATGAAGCGTGGAAGTCTTTTAAGATCCTCACAAGCAATTCAGCGTTCCCAAGTAAGCATCTCTCCAACTCTCTGATCACCCATCTATCTTCTCTTAAAGACCTTCATAATCTTAAGAGGGCATTTGCTTCTGTCATCTTTCTGTTGGAGAAGAATCCCGAAGTTCTATCTCTTGAAACAATAGAGACTCTCTTACATGCCATTAAATCTGCAAACATTGCCGCCCCTGCTTTTGCTTTAACAAAATCCATGTTCAAGAACAGATTTTTTCCTCCTTTTAGTTTATGGGGAGACGTGCTTATCGAAATAAGTAGGAAAAATGGTACATTTGCTGCTTTTTTACAAGTGTTTAACCAAAACTGTAGGATTGCTTTGGATGAGAAATTGGATAGCATGAAACCTGGCTTAGGTGCTTGTAATGCGGCATTGGAAGGATGCTGTTGTCATCTGGAATCTGTAAGTGATGCCGATAGTGTTGTGGAAACTATGTCTGTTTTGGGTGTTTGGCCCAATGAGTCTAGTTTTGGTTTTCTTGCTTACTTGTACGCATTGAAAGGGCTTGAAGACAAGATTATCGAATTGGAGAAATTGATGGGTGAGTTTGGTTTTTCTTCGAAGAGCAAATTTTACAGTAATTTAATTCATGGGTATGTGAAATCAGGCAATTTAGAATCTGTTTCAGCAACCATTCTACGCAGTTTGCAAGGGGGAGATACACAGGATTCAAATTTTGGTGAAGAAACTTACAGTGCGGTTTTGAATGGGTTTCTTCGAGATGGAGGTGCCAAGGGTTTAGCTAAGCTGATAATAGAAGCTCAAAAATTGGAGTCTTCTTCAATTAGGGCTGATGGTTCTGTGGGGTTTGGGATTGTAAATGCTTGTGTTAATCTGGGGTTATTAGATAAAGCACATAGTATTCTTGATGAGATGAATGCTCAGGGAGGTTCTGTTGGCCTTGGTGTATATGTATCAATCTTAAAGGCTTACTGCAAAGAGCATAGAACAACCGAGGCTGCTCATTTGGTAATGGAGATAACTGCTTCTGGACTTCAGTTGGATGCTGGTTGCTATGATACTCTGATAGAAGCATCTATGGCAAGCCAAGATTTCCAATCAGCCTTTTCTCTGTATAGGGATATGTGCGAGGCAAGAATACCTGACCTGAAAAGTAGTTATCTAACTATAATGACAGGTTTAACAGAGAATCACCGACCTGAACTAATGGCAGCCTTTCTAGATGAAGTTGTCGAGGATCCACGAATTGAAGTTGGTACCCATGACTGGAATTCCATAATTCATGCTTTTTGTAAGGTTGGACGTTTAGAGGATGCAAGACGGACCTTTAGAAGAATGGTTTTTCTTCAGTTTGAACCAAATGAGCAGACCTACTTGTCTCTCATTAATGGATATACAACTGCAGAGAAGTATTTCAGTGTTTTGATCCTATGGACAGAAGTGAGAAAAAGAATTTCCACTGAGACAGAGAAGGGGATCAAGTTTGACCACAGTCTTGTGGATGCATTCTTGTATGCGTTAGTTAAAGGAGGTTTCTTTGATGCGGTTATGCAAGTTGTGGAGAAGGCACAAGAGATGAAGATATTTGTTGATAAGTGGAAATACAAGCAGGCATTCATGGAGACACATAAGAAGCTCAAAGTGGCAAAGTTAAGGAAGAGGAACTTCAGGAAGATGGAAGCACTTGTTGCATTCAAGAACTGGGCTGGTCTCAATGCATGAATTAACACTTTCCAGATTTTTGTTTTATTAACTCAGTTATCAGCTCACTAATCAAACTTGATGGGTGCCTCTTACAACTTGAAAGTTGAAGGGGCTCACTCTCAACTTGCAATGGATGATACAGGATGGTGAGGAGTTGATTCTAACCCTTGCTGCAAGGCTAAGAGAAAGGAATTCTACTGGAGTTTCTTCTGTATAGGCCACAGCTAACCTTATCTAAATTCTTGAAATTCTGCTTATGAGGTTGGTTTAAACCACTTGGCTAGTCAATTTTGCAAGAAATTGAGTGACAATCAAAATTTGCCAATTTTATGCAACACAAGTGCAGAAGTTGGAAGAAACTTCATGTGTGAATATAATTCATGAATTGGTTCTGCAACCAGCTTTTCAGATTTCCTGTGGTGGTAAACATTACCTTGCCTGACAAAAATGAAGTAAATGACACCTTGCAGAAGAGTTCCAGCAATTAAAAAAAATCAGAGAATATTGTTTCTTCAATGTGTACTATGATGTATCCTGGTATAGTTGGTGCGAAAAACCTACTACAAGAATTGAGACTTCAGAGTCCTTATTGTACTTTAGAATACCTTTTTATTTGAATGCACTCGTTGCTACCATAACAAGGCCAAATTGACAGTTGATCATTTGCTTTTCATTTATCTACCCTTTTATTTGCATCCTTTACATTTCCAAATGAGCTCACTAGTCTGATTCATGAAAATGCTAGTGCTTGCACATGTTACAAGATGAAGTTCATATCATTTTAACAAATCTAATTATGGTCTACCATGTCAAAACATATTATATTTGAGCAGAAAAAAATTTCAGCACATATTACCTAATTCCTTTTGCATACTTTGGTAAGCAAAATGTACAGTTGAGTATACATAATTCCTCTTGTATGCTAAAATTGTTAAAGAGGAGATAATTGTTAGAGGAAGAAAGATGGAAAGCTCGAAGGCCTAAAATAACGTATTTTTCCTGTTTGGCAACTGAAAGACAAAAAGACGAGAAGAATAGCTCCCAAAAGCTCAAAATATGCTAAAGTCAGAAAGCTTCATTGCAAGCTTCTTGTCTTCTCACTACCCGTGCCTTCTCAGAGGATTAATGGGTCAGTTGTAATCTTACTGAGAGTCTGAGACATGATAATAACAGTGTCCATAGCGCCTATACTCAGCCCAATAATGATTTGAACTGATTAGCAATATACGTATAATTTTATATGGAATGTTTACATAACATCCTTATGTGTACAGCAATGCCAGCATCATGGGGTTGACCATCACAGAGATATCGTCGCGAGTGGAGAAGAACATAAGAGAGTTACACAGATCACAGATCGCCACCCTGTTTTGTTAAGTACATTGAACTCCCCTGTTTTTGGCAAACGTTTTTGAGCTCTTTTGTCATGCTCTTATCCTATAACTTTGCATTCTTTGTTTTAAGGACTTACCAGTTATCAACTTTTTTGCAGTTAAAATGCTATTGTGAACACTGAATTTTTAACAGCAAAAATGAGATGAGTCCTTTAAATAAGGAATGCCAAATGCAGCCTTAAAATATTTCAAAGATCTCAATTACCTTTAGCGCATAGGGATAGGGTATAGAGATCTTCGCTGCATTGGCCATGGGTTCTTCTTCAAACACCAATATGTGCAAATAAGTTGGTATGATAATCAATACGTATCTTAGAGAGCCTTGAAATAAATTTAAATTAATCAAATTAATTTCAAATAAAGGGCATTTGGTCTAGTGGTATGATTCTCGCTTAGGGTGCGAGAGGTCCCGAGTTCAATTCTCGGAATGCCCCATTGGTACTTTTCGTGAAAATCTGAAATCCCTTGTGCATCAATATATAAGAGTTGCCTCTTTTGACCTTTGCAATATGATGTCCCAACTAATGCGTGCATAACACTTAATTGGAGATAATAGAACTTCAGAGAATTATTTTTTATTCAATATTCAATAGTGTATAGTGATTCCAAAGCCTTAAAAGAGGACTTCATTCATCCAACAACAATTAAGTGGAAACAATAAATTTCTTTAGTACCAAATAAGCACTATGTTTCGTTATTATTGCTGTTGGATTTAGGTATTGCAAGTTTTCATCTAATCAATTGGGAAAATTTCGGATCAGTATCGTGTAATTTGGCTCGAGTGATAATTTGGTCTTTAAATTTTAAAATGCGACAATTCAATACCCGAATTCTTAAAATGTGACAATCCAATCAGTATGGGCTCGTCATTAACTGTTCCAATTATCTTATGCTCCAATGTCTCAACTTTGGTCAAAAAGTTAATTATCAAATGAATACAAATTTGTATCTAAAAAATAGGTACAGTAATGCTATTTCTTTTAGAATACGAAAGTATCAAAAAATGCAATTTTACTTTGAAAATCATTACTTTTTTACATTTCAAACAAGCGCTCACAAACACGAACCGGGATGCATAAATACCCTAATTTAACGTTTATATCACAAACAAACGCAGCCGAAAGACTTACTTGTTTGAAAGGGCTGAGCTGAAGATTCAGCTATTTATTAATTAATATTTTGATTTAAAATAAGTAATAACATATTGATAGTCTAATATGCGTATACTGAGTTACTTAGATACTGTATAGTAATATATAAAAACCTATAAAAGTCATTAGTTGGCATATTAAGATTGAGTTGACTTAACATTTTTTTTTTCAATGGGTAATTTAGTGCATTATTTATTTTTATTTGGAATGGCAAACAAATTAATGATTCATGTGTAGAAATAATAATATTAAATCATTTTATACATGTTGATTTACAACTATTTCATGGTCCTCTGTGTCTGTCTGATATATTATTTACACATTATTTTATAATATTGCGCTGATGATTTCAAGTGCCAATATTTTACTCGAATCAGCAGAAAGCTTAAAACATGCACATTTATTGGCTATATGATAGAAAACAACGTTCAAAGCTAAAGATGGACCATGAATATATTAAATGCATATTCTTATACTTTTTCGGTAATAATATTTTAATACTTTATCACCATCATCATCCCATTCTCTGAAATACCATTTGAACACAATTGTATTATGGTTTTTTATATAGATATTTTCGAGGGATAAGGTATAATTTTATTTTGGTTTCTTAATAAAATTTAATGGAGACCATCCCTCCACCGGGAGTAAAGTTTGGGATTAAAAAATAGAATTAGGGCTGTTCATAATAGTGTCCAATCCGATTAAACCGATCAACTCGGACCCAACCTGAGTCGGCCGGGTTTTCATCAGTACCGGTCGGTTTCGGGTTGGGCAAATATATAAATCGATATATCGGGTTGTTTTTTGGTTTTCTTGTGTGAAAACCGAAACCAACCTGACCCGAACCGAACTAGTCTTCTACTAGTTCGATAGTTCCTAGTTTGAGTAGTTTCCTACTTAACTATAACTAGTCTTCTACTAGAACTAGAATGCCCATTAGACAATTACAATTAGAATAGGCAATCTATCATAGTTTATAACTTTCTATAATCTTTTACACCAAATAGGCAACCCATTAGGCAATTACAATTAGAATTCAATTAGGTGTCCTTTTTGTACAGGAGCAAAACCAAAACCGACCCAACCCGACTCAAACCGATCAGATCGGTCTGGCCTATCAATGGGTCGGTTTCGGTTTCCACCTCAGGTAACCCAACCAGGTCGGGTCGGTTGGGAAAAGCCCAATAAACCGACCCAACCCGACCCGTGAACACCCCTAAATATTATGTATTCATGGGTTTTTTTATGAATTACCTTAATAAATTTATGCATATCTAAATCATATTAAATATAAAAAATTGCCTTTTATATACAGGATGGATATTTATACTTTGGCCCTTCATTTTGATTTAGAAATCAGAATTGGTGCAATCATGCAACTAAAATTGATACAAATCTAAGGATCGAATGCACGATATTGGTGGAAAATTAATACACATTTTCTTTTTCCAAATTCCATGGAATTTGACCCCAACGCAAACGAAACTGGATTTGGTCCTCACAAAACTGTCATCAGTCTTCACAATCCTTTGCACCCCTGCATTAGAAATATCTCTCCATAAATAAAAATATAAAAACATGAAGATATTCCTAATACACGATTGCAAAAGACTGTGAGTATCTATGAGGATAGTTCTAAGGATCAAGTCCAAATTCAATGCAAATGCTCACATTCTAATCGAATCTACTTCGTATTGGCATGACTGAATACAGTCCTCAGCTCCTCACGAAATTTGTCGTCACACCATTCTCACAACAGTGCAATTCAAACATCTCCAAACTTATATATTCCCAAGCATTGTGAGGGAATCAGTTTTGGAAACTAGAGCATCTTCCGAGAAGGGAGGAGTTCAAACCGTTTCAAACGGTTCTGACTCCGCCAAAATAGGCAAGTTATCCAATGTTCAAAACATGAAAACTGTACATGCTTTATCAGTTAACCCATTAATTGCTATTGACGAGATTTGTGGAATCTCTGATCCGTTACACTCGGCTACAAGTATGGAAGTGGGTCTGAATATTCAAAAACTGCCATCCCAAGACAACGGCCAACACCATACTAGTGCTATGAGATGCAACTTGAAGAACAACTCAAGCACACTTAAACCAACGGTCCACTCAAAGAGCACTGAACCAGAAATAAAAGATCTCACAACCCGGCTTGTAGTTAGTTGCGACAAAGAGAAAATACCCACAAACGGGGAGGGCGGGTTTACTACCGAAATTGTCGGTGGCACACCCGCCAAATCAGGCAAGTACAACCAAGACTCATCCCATTCCATTACCTCCAATCATGCCCCTGCAATTCTCTCTGATCGATCTTTCACCATTCATGCGCCAAGGGAAGTCACAAAGAGGATATATAGCCACCAAACGTAAAGCAGATTATGCTGAACCTCTGGTGGAAGAAGAGATGGACTGCATTCCCAATGAGTTACCACATGTTTCAGAAGACCGTATTCGGTTAAAGAAAAGAGCTCACCTGAAAGCTACGACGGATACTGATCTGAAATTGAACATGCCTGTGGACCTGGAAATGGCTGAGGTGGCAAGCCAAAATTTGCCACCACAAGCGCCATGACTTGCTTAGCTTGGAACTGTCAGGGTGCGGGAAGTCGACTGACAGTTCAAAATTTTAACAGACTTCTCTCTATGGAACGTCCTTCCTTCTTTTTCCTATCTGAAACAAAGAGCTCGCTAGACAAGTCTACAAGGTTGCTACGTCTCTATAACAATTACAAAATCCATATTGTTCCTTGTCATGGCCTTGCTGGAGGCTTGTGGTTTGGTTGGGATCGTAACATCAATGTGGAGATAATTTCAAGTTCTGATTCTATAATCCATTGCTGAATTCATGGTTTTCCCCGTTATGCCACCTGGGACCTTCTTTGTTGTTAGATCTTTCAATAATGCCAATAATGAAACTTACTGCATAATTGGTGAGTTGTGACCTGAATATGACTACTAAAGTTGGGGAAAAAAGCGGTGGATCTCAACAAAAGCAAGAGTGCTAAAAGAGTTCACTAAACTCCTCGATGATTGTGCTTTAATTGACTTGGGTGGTGCCGGTCCTCATTTTACTTGGTCAAGTCGTCGCAATACCCAGAACCTTGTAAAGCAGCGCT